ACATGGGCAGAAAAAGTAATCTATAATATATGAAGGGCCAATCCTTAAAGTAGTAGTTCTCTCACAGGAGAGATCACAAAGTTCAACCTTCTGAGTTGGTAGAGGAGGCTTTGGGTCCCTCCTTGCAGCAGAAAAAGGAGAAGAAAAGGGTAGACCTATCATTTCTCTTCTCTTTCTTTACCCTGCAGGCCCAGGGGCTCAGCCTGCTCCCAGCCACAAGCAGCATGCAAGTTGATAGGCCATATGGAGGTTTTAGAAACCTTTTTAGACGTAAAAAATTATTTTGTTACTGATATTCTGGAGGTGGGAAATGTAAATGTGATTCTTCATCCCCATCAACCAGGTGTTGGGGAGCTCGGTCTGTGTCTAGTTAATTGCTACTGCGTTCCTTTCTGTGCTTGTTCTGCTTTGCGCCGAAATGCTTATCTATACAGATGTGCAGGAGGGAGTTGTATTGTCTGGGTTTTTCCTAGGTGCCGTGGGAGAGTGTTGGTTCTCAGCTTTAGCTACCTAACGGTCTCCAAACATTATCCCATGTGCGGGAGGGTGCCTAATTGGCCAGTGCTGTGGGGGGGTGCATACGAATACCCTATATCCTATTATGCCCATGGGGCAGCCGCCATTCTTAACAGTGCTTATGTTACTGCATCTATAGCTCTACAATAAAAGTATTACCGTTCTTGAATGTGTGTACTTCGTTGTTGGCTGTGGGTTCTGGCAACACCCTTTCAGGTGCTGGCCAACTGTTTTCAGAAAGTGGGTGGGTCCATGTGGGGCTTTTGACCAGCAGGGCTTCTGATTGGCTGTGCAGGTTGTTAAAGAGTTGCTTCATCAGTAGCTGCCACCACAGCACAATTTTAAAAGGCAGCCTGTTAAACACAGTGTCTGCTGGAAATCTTGAAGATCTTTGCATGACCTTGCTCAATAATATTTTGTGGTTAGCTCCACCTCCCATGGCAGCCATTTTGTGTTTGTGCCCTCAACTGTGTCAGAATCTCAAGAATGCCTGCTGGCCTAGAAAGCTTGGGGACCCTTGCCATAGACTAAACTGTTATTTGGGGAAATTGGAGGATAGGAATGGGGCTTTATCCTTCCTTAGAACCCAAACTTCAGTCCAATTGGGCAGTTTCCAGCCCCTTTACTACCCTCAGTCCCACTCTCAGAGGGCAGTTTCTCTTTGGACCACTCCAATAAAACAATTTCTCTGTGAGACTATATTTGTAATTTGTGGTATTTAAGGAGTTATTTTGTTATCTTCTCAGAAATAGCAAAGCAATTCTTTAAATGTAGAAGCTCTGACATTCATCCCCATAAAGAAATGGTGCTGCATGGCGGGGGAGAGTAGGAAGGGAGAAACCCTCTTCTTGTTTTCCAACTTCTGGCTCATAGTTTTGCTAAAGGACTGGATTTGAGCACATTGAAGAACATCCTTGTAATTTTCCACTTCACAAAAAGCAATGTAGCTTTTAAAATCCCAATTCACTTGTAATTTATACCGCAGTTTCCACATAGGGCTGAATTTAAGATGAACATGAGAAGTGTGTTGAAAACAATTAACATTATTTTGTTTCAGGTTTCTATTTGTTCATTCTAATACCCTTTCCTGTTTTCACATATACTAGTTACTGATAATATCAAGTTCTCTAATTTCATTTTGTTTACTAAAACGACTTAGCATTTTCATTTACGATTAGCATTTCAGATTCAGGGTTTTCCCTCCTCTTAATGAGACCTTAAAAACAATGTACATAATTCTTACATTGCCTGATCTTTATAAAAGTTTTTGTTAATGATAATAAATATGCACTGAACTATGAACTTAACTTGCCCCATTCTGAAAGTTACAATTTAGTTATCTTATTCTCCCTCCCATAGCCGATTGTACACTTTAATGGTATAGAAAGATTTTTCCCTTTTCATGGTAATTTTTGTGTGTGGAATACACCATTCTTTAATATCTTCAAGCACTGTAAGCTTCAGGAGGGGTATAGTATTTCTGTTGGGCTTTTCAGGTGAGTCCACCCACCTGAATGGAGCATCAGTACTAATGCCATACGTAAGCTGGCATAGAGACATTCCACACAATCAGGCTGATTAGCAAGTCTAGTAAATTTTACATCCATCACATGGAGTGCTACCATGAGGAAGCATTTTTCATCAATTTCTTTATGGAACAAGCACTGTGTGCATTCCTGTGCATATCTGTTTATTGAATATAAGGTATGATTACCCTGATCTAGATGACCCAGGCTAGCCCAACCTCATCAGATATCGGAAGCTAAGCGGCATTGGCTCTGGTCAGTATTTGGACAGGAGACCACCAAGGAAATCCAGGGCTGCTACACAGAGCCAGGCAATGGCAAACTGAGCATCTCTTGCCTTGAAAATCTATGGGGTCTTCATAAGTCAGCTGTGACTTGATGGCACTTTTTGTTATTGTTGTTCCATCGTGCTCTGGAGTTTGCTTAGTTTCATGTTCGTTGCCTCAATAACACTGTCTAACCATCTCATCCTTTGCCATCCCCGTCTTCTTTGACCTTCAGTCTTTCCCAGCATCAGGGTCTTCTCCAGTGAGTGCTCCCTTCTCATTTGGTGGCCAAAGTATTTGAGCTTCAGCTTCAGTATCTGGCTTTCCAGGGAACAGTTAGGGTTGATTTCTTTTAGGATTGACTGATTTCAGTCAGCATCATCAGCTACCTTTATTCCATTACTGCCTTTCTCACTCTGTTGTTGATTATAAAGGCCACACCATTTTTTCTACAGGATTCTAGTAGATATAATGGTCTTCCAAGTTAAATTCACCCATTCCCGTCCACTTTAGTTCACTGATTCCCAAGATGTCGATGTTCAGTCTTGCCATCTCATTTTTGACCACGTAACGCTTACCTTGATTCATAGATCTTACATTCCAGGTTCCTATGCAGTCTTGTTCTTTGCAGCATTGGACTTTCCTTTCACCATCAGACACATCCACAACTGAGCATCCTTTCGGCTTTGGTCCAGCCGCTTCATTCTTTCTGGGGCTACTTGTACTTCCCCAGTAGCATATGGGACACCTTCCGACCTGAGGGACTCATCTTCCAGCATCATATCTTGTAGCTTTTTGTTACTGTCCATGGGGTTTTCTTGGCAGAGATACTGGAGTGGGTTGCCATTTCCTTCTCCAGTGGATCACACTTTGTCTGGGTTCTCTGCTGTGGCCTGTCCATCCTGGGTGGCCCTCCATGGCATAGCTCACAGCCTCATTGAACCATGCAAGCCCCCCCCCCCGCCACGTCAAGGCAGTGATCCATAAGGGAGGATGGCACTTTACACTACCATAAATCATAATTATTCCAGCTTTGTTAACTTGAAGTGCAAGGTGTGATCAAGTATTAAATTGTTACATGTATTCATACAGAAATTTTTTATGAAGAACTGGATTTACTAACTAATGACTTGTTTTTTATGACTGAGTCAGAAATCTCTCTCTATAATAAAGCTGTTTTGAGGTGGTCACGTTCGATGCGCTTCTTAATCCATTGGCTGCAAGAACTGTCACTCACAACAGGGACTGTGGCCACTGGCTGTGTTCTCTGACTCCTGCCCACAGAGGCGGTGTCGGCCCAAACATACCTCAGAACACAGTGCCTTTGCTCTGCTGGACACACCTCCTGTCTTCCTCCGGCCCAAAGCAGCGTCGTGCCTCCCCAGCGCCTCGCCTGTCTCTGCGGCGCTTCTGTGGCTGCTCCCCCTGATTGACGGCCAGTGTGGAGGACCAGGCCCTGGCAGGTGGCCTGCCTCAAATGAGCAGTGGGGGAAGGAACAAGGCCTCGAATGGGAGGTGTGGAGAGGGACGAGGCCGGGCGGTGGGGGGAGGAACGAGGCTGGCTGCCTTGGCCTGCTGCTGCCTCAAACAGGCAGGGGGGAGGAATGAGGCCAGCTGGCGCCTCGAACAGGCGGTGGTGGGAGGAATGAGGCCGGCTGCCTTGGCTTGCCGGCACCTCAAACGGGCAGTGGGGAGAGGGACGAGCTCAGCCATCTTGGCCTGCCGGGGCCTTGAGCGCGTAGTGGGGAGAGGGACGGGGCTGGCTGGCTTGGGCTGGGGACTCGAGCAGCCGTGGGGGGGTTGGGGAAGGAGAAGGGGGTCCACAGCCTGATTCCTAGTTAGAAATATATATTTTTTTGCTTTTGTTTATTTGTTTTGCTTTTAAAAAACTATTTCACATAGCTATGATAATTAACACTGTTTGGCCAGAATATTTTCTATCTATGTTAGTTTAATTTTCTGGCCAAGAGAACAGAGCATAGATTTCTATGTCAAAGCTGTCTTCACATCTTCTCATGAAAAGTTTAAAATGTTGCTATGAAAAGACTCACAGAGTTCTAACACATTTAATCCAATTATTGTGAAAATGTTATGAGTCATGTTTCTTGGGGTCTTTGACATTTCCAATCACAGTGAGTAAAACTAAAAAAGGCAGCCGTATTGGTTCGTTAGTCCAAGTATGGTCATAGCACAGTGCCTTTACTATGATCTATTCAATACCTCAAAAAAGGAATCTAGCCTTTTACAGGCCTCTTTCAGGAGCTATGCTGTCAAAGAGAAGAGGGTAATAGAAGGTATGGTGGAAACCCAGTTTGCAGTGTGTTAAAGCTTTAAAATAGTAATTGAGGAAGTTTGTTGCAGACCAGTTGTGTTAGATTTTGCCCAGTACAAAGGACTAACAACTTAAACCCAAAATACACTGGGACAAAAATACAATGGCCGATTTCCCTTTTGAAAAGGCAAGCATTTAATCAATCTGTTTCTAGCATTAATCTGAATTCTTAGTCCCATAATTGTTTTTGTTTGCTGTTTACATGCTACCACTGGGTAACATGAAGCAGAAAGCTCTTGGGGACTGTACTATAGATCTAAACATTTTGAAGGATGTGAGCATGCAGCAGTAGTCTTTTACAATACTGACTTTGTTTTCTACTTGTCTCTTTTCTCTCTCTCTTTCCAATTTTTACTTTAGGGACATCAAGCCAGACAACGTCTTGCTGGATGAATATGGTAAGCACTCATTGTTCTTGGCTACTGTAACGTGTATACAAATGCAGCCATACAGCAAAAGGTATCTGGAACAGCATAAATGAAATATAGACTGCTGGGTGCTTTTCACAGGCTTAATGAAACCTTATCTGTCTTTGACGGAAAACAAGCCAAGGTGAAAACTTACCTTTCAGCTCTGTGTTGTTCAGCAGAGGTATGTACTATAGGTTTCTACATTTGACCTAGACTTTTGTAATGCATTTTTTATAAACTGACATGGTGCTTAATAAAAATCTCAGGATTTTTTTACATTGTATTTTTATTGTAATTTTGAGGTGGTGGAGGAAAGTGCCATAAAATTGGGGTCAGGAAACAATTTTTCTCTAGGCCAGTTTGGCTGGAGATCCTGGAGGGGTGTTTTTGGGGGGCTTTTTTGTTTGTCATCTTCTGGGTGTGGAACAGCAGTCACTGGGGGTGTGGGGGAAAGGTAGTTTCCTGTAAGCCATAGCTAACCAGTTCCATTTTAGGAAATTTCTGGAGATTTGGGGATAGACCCTGGGGAGGGATGGGACTTCAACAGAATATGATGCCAAAGTCCACCCTCCAAAGCTGCCATTTTCTCCAGGGGAAGTGATCTCTCTAGTCTGATCATTTGTAATTCTGGGAGGTGTTCCGGCTCCACCTAGAGGTTGTAGCAACCCGAGCTGCAGTGTTAGAAGAGTCAAATAACAAATATGTACATGGCAAAAACCTGTTTTGTAAATTAATGTGTTCTATTTGTTAACTACCATCTTAAGTCTTAAGAAAGACAGGAGCGCTCCGTCTATGAACCTCAGCTGCTTAATGTGCCTTTTTTTTTTTCCCCATATTTTATTTAGTTTTTAACAGTATTTATTTTTTTTTTTCCCCATATTTTTATTTAGTTTTAACAGTATTTAACATTCCAAAACACATGTAACATATATTGTAGAGTCTCATACATTCAGTGTCTCTATCCACTCATAAACTTTAATCCATCTTTTTTTTATATACTTTTCCATACTTATTCTGCAACTTGAGGCTTAAATTATCCATCTGTGCTAGATCTAGCACCTTTGCAACTAATTCATCCTTCTTAGGTATTATGTCTAATTTCCAATTTTTTGCCAGTGATAAACGAGCAGCAGTTAAGATATACACTATTACATATTTATCTTCTTGCCCATAGCCCTTAGGTACCATATTTAATAAATATATCTCTGGTTCCAATGCTAGATTTTTACACAAGATTTCTTGGATCAATCTTCTCACCATTTCCCAATACTCCTGAACTCTACTGCAGGTCCA